ATGTGACTCTGTCTACTTCCGGTCCATTGAATATAGAGGTTCCCCTTCCAGCGGATTTAACCTTCAAGGGTTCCGAGCCAGATATGTCTGGTACAAATAGCTGTTGTTCTGTATGCCTGAGTCGAATCAGACTGAAGTCGGTTTTACGGATCAGTCCGGTTGTTTTGGGAAGTGCAAACAACACCAAATCAAAATATGGTCAGATACGAACGGAAAATGATCCTAGTCATTGTTGATAAAAACAAATTAAATATCCAGATATCTAAAAAAAAAATTAAAAATACAAAAATGGAATTGTTTTATAAAACAATCTTGTTTCTTATACAATCTAACATATTTAAAACAGAACGAGTGTCTTTCTCACGTCTTGCTGTGTCACCTGTTTCTCCTAAAGACGGCGCAGTTGTCCAACCATCTGAAATCGTACAACTGATCACAATTTTTCATATAAGCCTACTATTTTTCTTCTGGAAAAGTCACATTCGTTCATTTGAATGAAGTAAAACTGATAACATATTTGGGACTAGGTTGCAATTCAGTTTAACACTTAGAAATTGTGACATCTCATACCAAAATAAATATGAACAGGGGCATTCAAAAAATAAATGCACAACAGACTCTTTCACAGTTATTATGAAAAGAACATATGTAATCTATATTCAGATGAAACGCTCTAATGTGTTTTTCACAGGATATATTCTGTGATAAATTTTAAATGATACTTTATTTGTTATACAATAATTACTAAGAACTTTCCAAAAAAAGATTACAATTTACTGTGCAGGTTTTTTCTTTCTTTCTTTAGTCCTTTTGTTATTTTGTTCCGTTATTATGTTGCGTATGTCAATGACGCTTTGTATTTGTATTAATTGCTATTATCTGTATTAACTACTTTTGCACTGATACAGTAAATAGCCTATGCCATCCTTTTGTTTCTGAAAAGAACATTTGGTTAAATGAAAATATCAAGCCTGGTCTCATTATAAATGGACAAATGGGGAGAAATATATTTAGTTATACAATATTGCAATATATTTAAAATGACATATACAATATTTATTAAAATATTTTCAAGAACATATCAATCAACATTCAACTTAATTAATTACATGTGTCTGGAATAAATATTGCCACTTGTGTCATGTAACCATGAAACTCACATCCTGTATTGTTTTAGCTGGTAGCACCATTGCACATCCCCTGCTTATGCAATAAAAGTGGCCTGTTGCCTGTTGTGTACCTTTGGTTGATCCAAAATGCAAAACTTTGACCATGAAGGTCATGAAGTGTCTGAACTCACTCCCAAATCTGCAGGAAACTGGAACAGAATCAAAGACCAGGACATTTCAGTCACTTTATATTTGATATTCCCTTGGAGAGATAAGCTGCTAAGATTAAAATATAGCTAATATTAGACCCATGCTTCCTATATGACCGTAATA